GTGTGTGTGTGTGTGTGTGTGTGTGGACCTCCAACTTTTTGTCGGGCCTTCCTGGTAGACCGCTTGCTGAGCAGCAGTTGCCAGGCAACACCATCCGGTCAGGCAGTGAGCTAAGTTTTGGCATCCGTGTCTCTTGGCAACAGTGTTGGGTTCGAGGGGATTCGTTTCCGTTTGCAGAAGCTTTCTGCTCGTTATCTTCACGCTCACACGGAGCTGCAGCTGCAGTTTATCTGCTTTTACACCACACGTCAGCACGCTCTGCAGCTGTGCTTCAATTATTCACAGCACTTTATTACACAACACAAAACAGTCGGCTCTAATGAAGACGCTTCAGCGAGAAGGTAAACCAAACTGACATCAAATGTGCTGCTAAAAGGAAGTTCAGTGCTTCCTACATGAGGAAGAAATCCTCAAGGGTTCGCTTGGAAATCTTAAAAGAAAACGATTCCAGAAACTCTGAAGATAAAAAGTGCTCGGAAAAAGTTTGGAAAGCCAACACGCACAGCCAGCGTCTCTGTGCATCAGCAGGTTTACAACCATCTGCGTAACAGAGTTAGCTCCAGCTGTCAAACAACACCTGGTCTCCACAGGTGATGGTCCGAGTGGTGTCTGACAGCGAAAAGTTCCCAGCAGCAGCGACCGTTTCAGAGTCTTTGCACGAACACCACAAGCTTTTACAAAAGTCGAAAACACAAAGCAAACATCTTTGATCCATCAGCTGGATGTGAGAGCGTGCCCTGTTTTTATTTGAAGCTGCTCCACAGCCACACAGACCGAGTACAACCGAGAGACATTCAGAGCACTGTTAGCGAACACGGAGAGGTAAGAAACAAAGATCCCCCGAGAGCGAGGGAGTCTGAGAGGTCCCAAAGAAACCCAGAGGAATCTGTCAGCGGCTGACGGCCTCGCTCTCGTCAGCACTCAGCTTCAAGGATACTGGAAGGTTAGTGGTTCGAGTCCCGGCTGCTCCAGTCCGCATGCCAAAGTATCCATGTTCATGAGAGTGCACGTGTTAGATGTGTGAATGAATGAATTTCTTCTTGTTTTAAGTTGAGACATGAAATATGAAAAGTTTCTGATGTGATGGTTGTTGATCACCGTGATCAGTGTGTGTGGTGAAAGTGTTTTCCTGTGGATGATGTGAGGAGGCCACCAACATGAAACAGACGGATCCAGCTCCCATCAGATATGACATCATTCTGACAAATTGTCCCACAAGGAGCAACAGGACAATTGACCTACTGTATGCTAATGTGAGAGATGCATACAGAGCCACCCCC